AGACCAATAATGTTGTTGTGTTGTTTAGGAAAAATATTGGAAAAAGTATTAAATAATAGATTGAATTATTATTTGGAAAATAACAAAATTTTATCAAATAAACAATTTGGATTTAGGGAAGAAATATCGACGGAAGATGCAATTTTGGAATTATTTAAAAATGTTGAAAATTCACAAAAAAAATATGTTTTAGGAATATCAATAGATATAGTTGGTGCGTTCGACAATGTATGGCGGCCGGTTATTCTATATGAACTAGGAAAAATTAAATGCGATATATCAATACAAACAATTATTAAAAGTTATTTGACAGATAGAATTACAATATACAGCAATAAATACCAAAAAATAACAAAAGAAATTAGCAAAGGTTGTCCACAAGGGTCAGTACTGGCACCTACTTTTTGGAACACAATTTTTAATAATAGTTTTCAAAATAGTGTAACGGAAATTGCATATGCAGATGACAAAATTTTTATTATAAAAGAAAACTCAAGAAAAAAATTAGAAACTTCCGGAAATGAAATAATAAAAAAATCAAAATTTATAATAAAAAGTAAAAATGGTAAATAACATAAAATATTTAGGGATAACAATTAAGGAAAAATTAAAACTTAATATGCATATTGACAAAATTTCGAGTAAAATAAAACAATTATTTCAAAAGTATTTTTGGACTTAAGGACGTAAGGATAATTGGGGATTAAATAAGAAGACGTTAATAACTATTTATAAGGGAGTATTGGAGCCAGCATTGTTATATGGAGTTGTGAGATGGAGAAATAGAATTAAAAAATTAGAAAGAAAAATTATAAGTATTCAATCTTACATTCTAAGAAGAATTTTTAATATATATGATAAAACTGCAACAAATTCAATAACAATTATTTCCGGAATAATGCCTATTATATTAAAGATAAATTTAAAAATTCAAAATTATAATTTGAAAAAAGATCAAAATATTATTTTAGGAGAAGACATAATAAATTGTAATATTATATAAAAAATAAAACAAAAATTAACTTTGGACATCCGGCAAAAGCACATAAAAATTTAGAAAACTTTAAAGAGGAAAAAGGAAAATTAACAAAAGTCGAAATTAAAAAACAAATTGAACAATATTATTTAAATAAATGGCAAGAGGAATGGGATCAATCGGACAAGGGGAGGGAAACATATCAATACATACCAAACATAATAAATAGATTAAAATGGAAATTTTGGAATATATAAATAGGGGTATTATACAAATTATAACCAATAGAGGACTTTTCAATTCTTATTCTTATAAAATTAAAAAAAGTGAAACAAATATGTGTATACGCGAAAACGAAATAGAGAGTGCTGAACATTTGTTATATGAATGTGAAGAATTCAAAATTGAAAGAGAAGACTTTAAAAATTTATTGGAATCAAAAGGAATTATTATTTGGCCTGTTAACAAAATTCAATGTTTACAAGAAAAAAATATCAGAAGCATTTTCGGAAATTTTTGCAGTAAAATTCAAAAAAGAAAGTTAAGTAAAATTTTAAACAAGACAATTAAATAAATTTACAGGGACCTCCAAGTGGTTAGGGACGGGCAACGAAGTCTAGGTAGGTAACCCTTTTTAGGGCAATAAAAATCCTAGATACGGCCAACTCCTGTAAAACAAAAATAAAAAGTTATAAAAAAATTAAGAGAAGACTTGTAGATAATAGGGGATATGCTGGAAGGCATGAGTAAAACTAACAAAAAGAATGTGCTATAAATATTGCTATAAGCACTTTTCGATAAAATCAACTTTTAATAAGTAATTAAAAAAAAAAATGTTTTTTTTTTAAATTTTTTTCTTTACTACCTGTATTAATATACAATAAATGGTAAAATATGTGCATATATATGCATAATATTGGTAAAAACATTGGCAAACATTTTTGATGTATATGCACCAGGATGCACACATATGCAAACTTGTATATGTTGTATAATTTCTAATAAAAAAGGAATTACGATAAACACTAACCATAAGATGGTTCTGTAAGTTTTCTGCACGAAATGATTGCCTCCTGTCTCTAAGAATTAATTTATAAGCACTAAGCAGAGAAACTTCTCTCCACATCAACAAAAGTAATAGGTGCATTAGAAAACGACAAACTATTGGGAGCAATTTCCAAACCTTCCACAATGTCACCCATCAACGCCGTCGAGAAAGAGAAACATAAAATAGTTTGAAAATGATGAAATTAAACATCAATTAAATCAACAAATCTTTCTTCCGGCTATTGCAGTATGTTTCATGATCGCGTCCGTTATAAAAATCCGCAAAAATGTATTAAAAATTCAAATTAAAATCGATTAAATCTAACAAAATTTAAATCTTAACATGCAAAATATGCATGTCTATCATGCAAATGCAAAGAATATCAAAATATGAAAGAAACGCAAAAAATGTTGCAAATCGAAAATACACAAAATCTCATACGAGGACAACCAAAAATAAACGATATGCAAGTATTCACAGCTTTAGCTGATCAACAAACTGAATTAAAATTAAAATAAAATAAGTGCTTTTAAACATCAAGATGGTGAAAATATGCAAAAATATATGTATCATATGTGGAGAGATTTAACCTTTTTGTTTGCACTCTTCAAAATACAGGCAATCTTAGTCAGTGTTAAACAACGTTGAATTACAAGAATTTTCACCGTCTTACTAAGATACATCGGATAAATTGTTGTACACTGTGAAATAGAAGTAAGTAAGAATTTGCAAGCTTCTTCTGATAGTGAAAGTTCAAACTCATAACAACTAATCCAGAAGCGTTTGAAACGAAAAAAATCAGGCCTACGAATTCAATATAAATACAAGAAGAAAAGTCGATCTATGGAACCATTACCTCAGGTTGTTCACCTTAACACTGATAAGACACTTCCGCGTCGCCACTTGTGCCACAAGATAGTCGTATTACAATAGGTCGCATTGTAACACTTGTCTTTCATACTATTTTTTCTATTTCGGTGCTTTAATTTAATTAAAAAAATCATTATCAGAAACTATAGGGAACATTAGAACTAACATGTTTTATGTTGGTAACACTTTTATGCCGTTAAGTTTTAGGTTGGCAGCGTAGTAAGACTGACATTTTGAAGTTCAAACATGGAAGTACCCAACGAAGTACCTACTTGTACTAACTAGTAACTGCCAACTTAAGAGATGAGTTACCAAAAAAAAACGACTTTAATCACTGTCTTTGTACAACTGTTTTCGGCCGAAAACAGTTGTACAAAATCATCATTGTGACACCGAAATAGAAAAAAATCATTATCGTTACGTCTACAGATACATTGTAGCTGAAGAAGTTTGTTAAGACCAAATGATGATGAAATTGGTATGTGAGGATTATGTTTCTATAACTTCATTTCTCTACTTTAATTGAACTTGTATCTCGCTTTGGACGACACTGGGTTCGTTATAGTTACAGATGTAAAATTGGCTCTTTAATGGTGAAAAAACTCTGTTTAACGAGTACTGGGAAAACCTTAAAGAAAAGGCTTCACATTAGCGACGCCTGCTCGATAAACACAGCACTTCGACTAACTATTTCGTAAAACTTGAAACACGCTTCCGCTTAACTTTAAACAAGAACTTTACAACTGACAAGACTGACTGTCTTACAATAAATACGATCAAATACAGCTTTTAGCTATAACGTGAGTAAACAGTTTGTTAATATTGATGGAAAGGTGTATATTGTGCCAGATAATTTGACATATAGATTAAGTGAAAACAAAAAATACATTGGAAAATTGTACGTCAAAATCAAAGATATGCTATTATATTCCGGAAGCAGCAAAGAAAATGAAAGATAACCCTTATTTTATTAACACCCACACTACAATCCTATTTACAGATCGATTTTAGTGGGAAAACGTTTTGTCAAAAACCATTATTTTGTTCAACAATTTTAGCGGAATTTCCTTTAATTACTTGACCATAAAGTATGTACTTAGAATTTGTCCACTTCAACGAAAATAATGTAGAACAACTTTCGCTTTTGTCCATTTTTACCTGTCCACGCATTTGCCGTAACAATCAATTAATTATATTTATAATTCACTTGAAGCATGACAAATTGTAGACGCGATCAGCGAACCTTAAACGAAAAACAATTATTATTGTAGACAAACGAGATTAATAACAACATTCAATTGCACGTGAAAACGTACCTATGTACCTATATGGAGCGAACTTTGCAATTAAGTAGCAATCTTGAGCGATTGCAGCTCGAGAACTTGCACTTAAGGGCGAAGTTAATCAAAAGTTTACATTGTCGCTCGTTTTGACAATAAACGTTAACATTCCACACTTAACTGTTCGAATGACTGCGAAATAGTTATTGTAGGAGTATATCGTAATAATGGTATTGTTATTTCGGATTTTTATCGCGCCAAATCCGCTTTTATCTGGTAACGGTGCCGTGTATTTATGGGGCATTACAGAAGAAATTTTGTAATCTATTGTCCATAAACGTGTAACTTTTGGTACGCCGAACGAACGGCGAAACGCGCGCGGTGTTTCTTTTTAATTAACTACCCGGGCAATTAGAGTGTTTTATGTAATGACGGGGAATGTGCAATTAAGAGTAATGTAGCTCGCTCTCTCTTCACCTTCGACCGGTGAAATATGTCATGTGAGTAAATTGCAGTACCTACACTACATCTTGGTGAATCCGCAACGACGGACTGGCATTAGCGATTTAAAAAAGGGGGTAAATCCACTCTAAGAAACACCCCTCTGGACCTAGCCCCCCACTATTGAGAATCAATTTAACAATATTGTATCCAATTTATGAGTTATTTAGGAGCTTTTCATATCGGAAGCATCAAATTTTAGAGCTCCCTTAAACCACTAGGAATTTCTCATGGGGTGGCTGAGTCTGTTTGGATTCGCCCCCCACCCCCCGATTCGAATTACTTTTCTCAAATTAAGTATTGGTAATCGACCTAGTAATGGACACAGACCTAGTAATGGACACTTTTCCCCTTAAAAATTTGAAAATAGGCATTGTGTGGTACTAACGCTGTAGATGGGTAGGTCAAATAATCAGTAGGTCCTTTGGTCGCATGCAGGTTCAACAGCTGCGGCTAAGTTCACTCTTATTGATCTTTTAAACGAACTATTGTGGCGGCGTGGGTTATGTGATGAGGTTTTTTGACATACTAAATTAAAGTGTCGTTAGCGTCTACTGTGCGTTTATTGAAACGTTGTAGTTATTTTTCCCACGCCAGGTAGGTTACTAATATTAGCAGTATTGATTTCTTAATTAATTTATGGTCATATAATTGATGGTACATGTCATTCCGCTTTTAGAAGGGGGTGACCATTACTAATACACTGTTTTACTTCGAGGGCTAGTGGTGGTCATAGGGTGTGACCATTTTTGAGACATAATGTTTCAGTAATGGGCACAATTTAGTTTACCCTTCTGTAAAAGATAGACTGCTTGGAACGTACTTTCCTAAATTTTAATGGATCTTAAAAGGTTTCTTACATGAATTAAATTTTTATAGAATGGGGAAAACAAAGAAAAAAGAAAAAAGAACTTTTTTTTCATACTCAGAAGAGAACATGATTATGGCAATTGAGGCAGTGACAAAGAATGGAATTAACAAAAAGGCTGCAGCTCGTGAGTTTAAGGTTCCTCGCAGCACTTTGGTACGAAGGTTAGCGTTAGCAACTCCTTACAGCAGAAAAATGGGCCCAGCTACAGAAATTCCCGAAGCAGAAGAGAAAATTATCGAAAACTGGGTGTTGGCAATGGCCAGGAAAGGATTTCCAGTTCACCGACAAAATCTCATCTTATCAGTGAAAAAAATGGTCGAGGATATGGGAAAGGAAACCAAATATTTTCTAAATGGAACACCTGGAAGATCATGGTTTAGGGGTTTTTTGAAACGTCACCCTAAGATAAAGGAAAAATTCATAATTTTTGCACCAGTAGGTACTTAACTCTTTCTGTATAGGAATAGTTCTGAAACATGATCCGGAGGGCGCAGAAGTTCGAACTATGGTCAGTGCTGGAGTTCAATCCTGGAAATGGCCTACAAAAGAGGATGTTTTATACTATTTTATGGATAGTATTATATGCAACATTCATAATCCTAAATTGAAAAACAATAGAGGCCACTATAGTGTGCCCGAAATGAATAAATATGAATAAAATATATTTTTGAAACATGTGTCCATTACTAGTCCATTGCATGTCCATTACTGCTCACTGTATGCCCATTACTAGTGTATTACGGAAATTTGTCAAATAATTTTTATAAAATATGTGTGTCCCATTGTCAGTAATTGGGGCCATGTTTATTGAAATCTTCATAAAAAGACCGTTCCATAGGTCCATCTATGATATGGTTAACATCAATAAAGCGGTACTTATGAGCGTTCAAAGTTGTAATTTCCTTATGGGTGTCCATTACTGAGCCTGATACCCTTTACTAGAATTACGAGCTGTTTAAGAGCTTTCATTTACTAAGTAATTGCAATTTTTGAGCGCCACCCTTAAAAGAGCAAATAGATTTCATCCTGGAAGCCGCCAGATCTATTCTGGAATAGCCTCTACTCTGCTTTTCTTTGCTTATTACAAATTAATTTTTGTCCATGAATTAGGATCTGTTGAAAAGTTTTCATTTATAAGTCTAATTTTGGAGCTCCACCCTCAAAAGCCCAAATAGATCCATTTCACAGTAGCCTTTCCTCGAGCCTGACCTATGCTGACCTTTACTTATTTCAAATTCATCTTTAAGCATGAATTACGAGCGATTTAAGAGCCACTTACAAGTTTTTTTCTAATTTTTGAACTCGACTCCTATCAATGAACACAATATAAAATAGGGAATCTTCGGAATCCTCAAGAACAGCTCCGATTTTTTTAAATTTGGTGCTTTATTGTTTAAAATCAGAAGCCTTTCTGGGGGGGGGGGGGGGGGGGATAATCAATTCTGTTGCTTAAAAGATATGTATCCTTTTTATGTCGGAAATTTGCTAAGAATTATAAAAACGTGCTATTCGTTTGGGTTTTGTCTGTCCGTCCGTTTGTCCGTCTGCTCTTCCCACCGCCCGTCTGTCCTTCCCTACGTCCGTTCGTTCTTCCGTCCGGACTAACTTTTGCAATGTTCAACTACTTTTATGGGAATTGTCCTCGAGTTCTGGACTTTTTTTTTGCAATAGCCTATACCTATAAGGTGTACCAGACGCCTTTCAAATTTTATTGTCTTAAGGGGGGGACGAGATTTGGTACACATTCTTACACATAAAAGGACAGAATCGCGGATGCGCAGATGTGCGGGTGGTATCTGTGCTAGCCACAGAACATTTTTTTCAAATTAATTTTTAACTGAAATATTGTCCGGATGAACAAACGAACGAACGGAGGGTTAGGACAGACGGACGAACGGACGGATAGACAAAACCCAAACAAATAACACTTTTTTGTAGTTCTTTAAAAATTTCCTACATAAAAAGGATAAACAATAGAAATAATTATCCCCCCCCCCTCCCGAACAGTTTCTTATTTTAAATAATAAAACACCAAATTAAAAAAAATCAACAAAATCGGAGCTGTTCTTGGGGACTTCCGAAGATTCCTTGTTCTATGTGTTTTTTTTATAGTGGTCGAGCCCAAAAATTAGAAAAACTTGCAAGTGGCTCTTAAATCGTTTGTAATTCATGCGTAAAGATTAATTAAAATAAGTAAAAGGCAGCAGAAGTAAGGCTCGAGGTAAGGCTTTTGGGGGTGGGGCTCCAAAATTAGACTTACTTATAAATAAAACTTTTCAACCGCTCGTAATTCATGGATAAAAATTAATTTGAAATAAGTAAACAATGTTGTTTAGTAAATTAAATTGGAGGGGTTAATTATGTCTTTTTTTCCTTCTATTATGTTTTATATATATTTTACACACTCTCCAATAAAAGACAATTTATTATTATTATTTATTATAACAGAGGAGAGGCTACGTCCAAGTGGAACTGGCCGCCCCATCGATTATATCTATTTGCTCTTTTAAGGGTGGCGCTCAAAAATTGCAATTAAGTACTTGTAAACGAAAGCTCTTAAATAGCTCGTAATGCTAGCACAATATTAGTTTGAAAAAGGTAATTCGAATCAATAGGGGGCTGAATCCAAATAGCCTCGGCCATCCCATCAGAAATTTTAGATTCCTATTGATTTAAGGGAGCTCTAAAAAATTTTATGCTCCTAAATAACTCATAAATTTTATTTTATTTTATTTTATTTTGCCTTTATTTTTGAGTGGGCGGGGTTCAGCCAAGGCTGCTCTACCTACCCAACCCACTATACATTTAAAAATATCCATGCCCGAACCCGGATTCGAACCAGGGACCCTTAGCACCACAGTCCAGCTTTAACTGAACTGCGCCACACGAGCCGGTTCCACAATAGGGGGGACTAGGTCCAGCGGGGTCTAAGAAACGGTGCTAAAGTTGCACTGTTTCCGAAATCCTGGAAAGTGGTGGCTTTTGTAATTATTTAGAGTATGCTTGCAAAAGTGACTGAAATGTTGTACCCTTATTTTAAACCCTCCAATAGATACAGCAGTTACAGTTCCAGAGAAACGGAGAATGATACTAAAGCTACACACAAACTACTGTCCTTTTGCACCACCAATTAAATTAAAAGCTAAGTTTCAAAATTAACTCCCACGCACTTCTCAAATATGTCGAATGACTTCTTTGATTCGATCCCTATCCCTAACCAAACTCTTACTAATCGGTAGCCTTTATGGCGATTAAGGCCATTTAAGTGTTATAGATTTCTTATTACAATTATTCTTTGTTTCGCCGACGGAGGTCGGGCGACGGGCAGAGTGCTGTCGGAAGAAGAGACATGGCAAATGAAAGTCTCGATCCTGGTTAGAGAGCTAGAGTTGTAGAAGGGACGATTCGCCAAAACGAAGAACCTCCCAAAACCAGTAAGGACACACGCCTGGATCACTAGGGTCAATCGGAAAAGGTCTTGAAAATGATCATAATTCATAACGCTGCAGCTGGAGCAATTGCCGTGTGGTACATAGGAAGGAGGACTGCAATTACCCACGACGTGCGAGCAAATAAAAATGCTATAACCCTTCGGGCCAAATACACCTCTCAAACCTAACTACCTCTTTAATGAACTTTCTCACACCAGCATAATAAAATAAATCAATTTTAAATCCTGATTCCAAGCAAAAAGGGCGAAGATCAAACTCCTTCAATTCTAAAAAGGTCATTTACCAAATTTTGAAGGCACTTGAAATGAACTTTGACCGCGGATAAACAGAGTTAAACATAATTCAACATGAGACATCTCTCTTCGTCGTTAAAGGGATCGAATAAACACACACATTGGATGATATTAAAAAACAAAGTTCTATGACTACAAATGACATTAAGTATGGTTATAGAATGATTACACGAACAAGACACTTGAACAAACGTGACGTACAAAAACTTGTTCTTCTTAAATCCATTCCCCAAACTGGTGGTTAGACGTTGACTGTTGTATCAGGCTCCACACACAAATACACCACAGATAACTTGAATGACTATTCGAATTACGCAAACGATAACTTCGGTGAATTGTTTATACTCCCCACCTACTGAATTCTATTCGACAACCCGACGACTTTACTTAAAACTATGAAAGGCAACTAAACTTCAACGAAGACCCGCGTGTCTTCTTAAATTCCAAAAAACAAAATCAAACTGATGGCCTCCAGATCTGACGAAAGTCTTGTTCTATTAAACGGGCGACAAACCGACCTCGAAATTGGCAAAACAAACTTCTTTTCCTTACAGGGGAACAGTATTCTTCAACGGACCGCAACTCGGGCTCGCACTTTGACAAAAACCCTCTTCCCGACGCATCCTCCAGTATTTAAACGGACATACAGACCCTTGGTACTTTGTTGAACCAATCAAATTTGTCACATGGATTATCTTAAACTATAACACTTTCTACGAAAACAATATTTTTTTTACGATTAGAAAACCACCTTATCTCTACACAATTACATTAATTTCTGCTAAAATGAACGTAATACCCAATAAATCAAATCGAAGCTGTCACAAATGCATTAAATTATCAGAAATTGAGATTGACATTTATCTTTTACTATGAAATAAACAAACAAAACCTGGACTACAGGTCAAATTCGCAAAATCGTTTTGTGTTTATTCCTCCATTTATCGTTGCCCGTTCCGACCTAATCGATAGATTTGACAGTTTTACGTTTGTCGCATTCAGACTGAATGCTATACATAGATTCAGTTCTAAATTAGTTAGTTGAGAAAGTCGACAAAAAGAGACATTTTTCAACGAAGAACTTTAATCATAAAATTTATTTCAAATATTGTAAAGCTGGATGGATATAAAAGTCATCTGTGGAATCAATATCCCATTTGAAAACTATGCGATTGGCAACCTTTCAATAGAAAATAGAAAAGCAATAGATGTCTACAAAACATTTCTCAACAATCCAACAAATTCCGTAACATAATTTCTCTCATTGTATAATATCTTCATAACTACTTCGGCATCGCTTTGGATCCCCCGTAAAAAATAACTAAAGCGGATTAAATGCCATCAGACCGAACGAAATTCATAGCATTTCAACCAAAAATTAACATCAGCTAAAAGTTTTCACTCAAGTTTCCACTAAGTACAACAGAAGCCTTTAAAATTTACATATAGGGCTCAAATTAAAATTCAAGAAATTAAGAAACTTTTACACTCAAGACAGCCGCCGCCCCCCCATCCCTCATCTTTCACTTTAATATCACATTAAAACTCCACAAGTTTTAACCCAATATTTGATGTTTATTTAATTATTTTGCAAAGACTAAAATTAACTTATCCGAAGGGGTTACGCGTTTCTGTGTTGTTTAAAATGAAATTAAAACGGAATTTTCCGCTCGCCTCTTAATTTCTTTCTAACCTCGAAAAGCTGTGATTCCACGTAGTAAACTTATTTAATTATTGCGTAACGAGCTTAATTTATTGCGGGATTTACTTTTACCGCGGCCGGATTACGTTGGAGTGTTTGATTTATTGTTTGTAGTATCACTGCTCATTCAGGAACACAGAGACACCACTCCCTAAACAAAGCATTGCGCGTCTTAATACAAGAGCTATGTAGTTATTGCAGAAAAGTAGTTTTCCGTCAAAATGGCACGCTGCATTTGAAATGAAAAAATAAATAAAAAATAATTAAGATTTAGAATAATTGGAACAACCTTAAGATCCTAACAAATTTGAGAAATTGCAACAATTGGAACTATTTCTATTATAGCGAATATTCCAGCAAACCATATAGACATTGAGGCGCCTTGAAAGATTAGCGGTGGACGATAAATAACTAAGGCGGATGTGACGCAATCTTTCCGGGAAACATTACGTGTTTGATTGAGAACATTCTAGAAGATTCGGAAGCATTCGGTGGCTCTCGAGAACACAAATTGCTTTGCAGGACAGTTCCAATTTCAACGCGGAAGTAATCAATAGTTCGCGCTGTTATAAATAAATAACCGTTATAAATCACGGGCATTTCAAGAACTTTATTGTTAGTTGATTAATCGAATAATGGAAAAATCCTGGAATCAGAGTTACTTATATGAGGATTCGAATTTGAAGTTTGAGTAATCTCGCTGAACAGTTGAGGACGTTTATGAAATATTTATCAGAGGAAACGAAAGTATTTAACTTTTAACAGCATTTCGACGAGCTGTCTGAAGGTTCGCCGCTAATTTCCTCTACGGTTACTCACAATGTATTCTTCGCCCACTTTACTAACCAACTACATAGCAGTTGGTATTACTGTACTACTGGGATTTCTCTCTGTTGTCATTCACTAGAAGCCCATTTGACAGCTATCCATCAAATCTGCATGCACTGATAATACATCATCATCGGAAGCAGAGACGACGTCACTAAAGGATCTTATGATCGTCATAACTGAAAAGTCTCCAAACACCGTTAAAGATCTGATGCAGAGGACTTTTGAAAAATCAGTAAAGGACATTTAAGGGATTTTATTAATATTGGTAATATTGGGTTTGGACTATTTGGTAAGAATCGTTCATCTTCAAATTGAGCTTTGAGCTTTGAGGAGACTTTAAAGTTCAAAAGAATCCTAGTAAATCTTTACAGACGCATAAAAACTGCAAGATCTATCCAAGACAAGCCTTTTGAACACTCTTAAATCGCAGTAATGATTTGCAGAAGCACTTAAAGATTTTAAAAGTTACCCTATCAGCTAATTAAAGGCTCCTTGTTCGTTTGCAAAACCCTTGACACCCTCTGAAGGGATTTTAATAATCATTCAAAGCGCTTGAAGATCCTTCAGAACCTTCAAAAAGTGTTCAAGGTCTTTTCGACCCCCTGAAGGCAAATGGAAGTCTGTTGAGACAATTAAAGCTTTTGCGAATGGACCTTTGGTAACTAATAAAGGTTTTTAAATAACTTTAAACCCTATTCAAGTTTTGTAAAAACCTAGCTAAAAACCTTTACAAGGTCATTCAAGAATAAATGATTTTTAATGGCTACAAAAGCATCTGGAAAAATTTTATAAACCCTTAAGAATCCACAAAGAGTTTTAGAAGGGTTTTAAGGATTTTTAATGGTCCGCTAATACTTTTAAAGCTCTCAATAATTCGGTAAAGCTCATAAAGCTCAATTAGTAAGAGATATCTCAAGGGTTATAGACGTTTAAAGGCTATTAAACAATTTATTGCTTAATAACCTGTAACAGCGTCTAAGAGTCTTCCAGAAACCTTTGGGCTGCGCGAGATTTTCCATTAAGCTTTTGCTTTAAGTACAACTGAAAACCTGTAAAAATTAAGCTTATCAACGTATTTATACTAAATAAGACCAAGCAATCCTTTTATTCCAAAACGGCATGTAGAAGCATCAAGTTAGAAATATTGAAGACTATACCCAATATAATTGCTGTAGGGTTTTCTAAAGTTCTTTACAATTCTACGCAAGAAATGGGTATTAAGAACGTTAAAAACAATTAAATCCAAATTCGAATCAGATGAGAATAGCTCTAGGGACTTCATTGATTACAAGGAAGAAAAAAGAGCTATTAAAAACCGTCCAGGATATGTACTACATACTTACTTTGCACATTTCACATTATAATAGTTTTAACCCTTACGACGACATCGGAGAATTTTATCTCCCTCATAATCGTCACCGGTATTTAAAATATTGCGCCAACATTTCACGGACATGAGACAGTATACTAAGACTGTTACGTAAGGGATGAAGGGGTATTTTTGTTTATGATTAAGAGCTCAGGCTCCTGCATTAGGACATGACCTGTCTCACCATAACAACAATTGAAGTATGTTCGTGGTTTGAGTTCAGTTGTCCGCCTTTGGCTAAGACATAACCTGTCTCATTATGATATACAGTTAGGGGTTTCGAGATCCATTCCATAACAGTTGTCATATAACATAAAAATTCAGGAGTCCTGATAAATACTTACATTTTCATTTGGGCGCAATGAGATGGTGGAAAAGTACCACTGCAAACAAATCAAACAAATGTACTACGCCCCCACATAAAGCTAACAAAAAGCTTCGACTCATCGTACCGGCCGATAACAAATATCGTAATTGAATTCCAAAGCCACCTTTCTGCGAATGGTTGAAATATAAAATACATGTGAAAGGTTATGTAGCACTCTTGATACGTAGTACACAAAATCTCCCTAAATACTTGGTATATTAATCTCAAATAAAAGTCACACATAATATACCTGAAACTATACAACAAATAGTGTTGGAATAGCCAAAAACAAAATTTGTCGACTGATGGTTTGAAGAAATTAAAAAATAACAAAAAGGGCTCTATTTTGGACAAAGAAATTGAAATCCAGCTGATATTAATATTAATATGGTTTAATTAATTATTTTATTTTTTTTAATCAATATTTTTTATTTGTATCAATCATTTTCGTATGCAGATGATACTTCTAGATACATGAGAAAGCATTACCTCTGCGCCATTTCTATAAAATAAACAAATCTACCTAGCCCTAGCTCTAAATACAGCCTCCAACGGTTACATTACTTTTTTATCAACCTTGCGCAATATTTTATAGGCCTTTCAAATTCAAATTTATAAAAGTAAACAGCCTAACAAATCGACAAGTAAGTAATACAAACCATTCACCCAATTACAAAGGAAAATAAAGGATACCTATACTTGCGAATCAAACACATACCACCAAAAGCTGGCTACGTTCTGCTGCCTCACTACGTTCCCCTTCTAGCGCAAGTAACAAGGCATGATGTGCACCCGATCGCGCACCTTCGTCCTTGTTTAATTTGAATTGCTTCACTTCCCGCGAAAACATTTCCAGTGGCGTACCATGCGATCCTCTTCTTTAATGAAATGTATAAAAGAGGGAATGATTCAAATTTTAAAACTGCCAGGATATTTTACACCACAATATATTTAGAAGTTTTGATAAAGTTTAAAAGCGTGTTTTAGTCTTTAAGGGACTCTAAAAAGTCTTTACAAAACCTTAAGAGTCTTTAAGGTTTTTTTAAAAGCCTTTAATAATAATAGTATTTATTCCATAGACATAAACTTTACCAAAGGTCTATTTCCAAAGGCCTTCTTTTCTCCTTTAGGGCATCTGAAAATCTGAAGCACTTTTTGAAGGGTCCCTAGGGTTTTTAAAGGCTTTGAATGGTTTTTAAATGCGCTAATGGATAATCCGTATATGTTCCGAAGATCTTTTAAGGGCCTCAAGACACATTTTAAGAACCTTTGAGTATAGGTACAAACCATTGGTAAACATTTAGCCTTTAAGCGTCAATCAGCTTCCAGCATGGGCTTCAATTAGTCTTGAAGAGCCCTCTAGAAGCGTTTAGAAGTGTAGGGTTTAAGACTCAAAGAGTCTTCCATTAGAAGAACTTAAATTAAACGTATAAACCGTGCTTTAGCGGCCACAACTTATTTGCACAATGCAGCGACAGTGTTTACTTGAATTATCAAAAAAAATTGATAAAGCGGTGAAAGGTCGAGGTGATAAGTTTCGGGAGAATTTAATCTCGCAGCATCACTCAGTGTGTGTAAAGTAATTTGTTTATTGAGTTACTCACGGTTGCGAAAATGAAAGCGGTTTTGGAAATCTGCTTCGTATTGCTGCTGGTGTCCCAGAGCGAATCGGCCTGTTTGTGGTCCAAAACGTACTGCAGCAAAATTAGGTGCGTGGACGTAAATGAGACGACTCTGGATGGGCAGTTGGCCGAGTTGTGGGACAAACCGCAGCCAAAGGCCGTGAACGGCTCCAGCGAGTGCTACATTTTCGAAATAATCCACTCGAAACTACCGACCTTGGAAAGACTAAGTATCGACGCCAAATATAACTGTGACGAAATTCGTCTGTCGTCGCTCGGACTGAGTTTCGTAAACCCAACGGTGTTAGCCCCATTTGCGAATCTCAAGCGGATCCGTGTGGATCATAACCGTTTAGCTTCGGCGGGGTTTCTCAAGTCTCTAGGTGATCTAGAGGAACTCTTCCTGCAATACAACCAGTTGGAAAGGATCGAAACTTCGGACATTGCGGATGTTTCCAAAATGAAGACGCTGGATTTGTCCTACAACAAGCTGTCCTCGATCGACTCAATCGTGTGCAAAATGGCAGCGCTGGAAACTTTAAAGCTGAGCGGTAATCAAATCGCGGCGTTGGGCGACTGTCTACAAAACTGTCGGGGCTTGGTCAATCTGCATTTGGGCGAGAATCGTATATCTGTAATTTCCAAGGATGCGTTGGCGAATTTGACGCGTCTTAGGCTTCTCGGGATGGGCGACAACAACGTGTCCGTAATCGAAGCTGGGGCGTTCACCAGCCTGTCGTCCTTGAAGACGCTATACTTGCGCAACAACAACTTGGTCAGCCTGCGGGTGGATTTGTTCGAAGGACTCACTCAGTTAAAGTATCTTATTTTAACCCACAACCCGATCCAGAATCTTGAGCCTGGCGTGTTTCAGAACTTGACGATGGTGTCAGAAATTTCACTGGCGGATAATGCGCTGTCCTCTTTGCGGAGTGGCAGCTTCAGAGGTTTGGAATCCGTGACGAGGTTGGACTTAGGGTCGTCGTCACTCACGGAAATCGAACCTAGCGCGTTTGCCGGCCTCCATCACTTAACGGAGCTTCAACTGTTCGAATCGGAGATATACAAGATTGACCCGGGGGCCTTTGAGGATCTACCCAATCTGGTGACACTCGATCTCGAAGGTAACCGGTTTCAACTGGTAACGGGCATTTTCGCGGGGTTGGCGAATTTAGAAAACCTACGCATAGAGGGCAACGTTTTTCACACTATCCCGACCGACGCTTTTAGCGGACTCACGCGGCTGCGCGAACTAATGCTACCCAACGTTGGAGTGAAACTAATGGAGGTGGGGGCGTTCCACGGGCTGCCTCAGCTGGAAGTGCTCAACTTGACCAACAACCATCTCGCGGTGATCGATAAGGATTGCTTGGTCGGTATGCCAAGCTTGCAGGTGTTGGATTTGAGCAACAATCGAATCAAGGAGATCTTGGCGGATTCGTTTTTTGAATTGCACGGGGTCAATCGACTTGAACTGGGCGGAAATAACATTACCACTTTGAAGGGGCACGTATTCGACGGTCTGCGCAATGTAACGGACTTAAACCTGTCGGGCCTTTCGATAGTGACGCTGGAATCGAACGCATTTTTCGGACTTACAAAGTTGAAAACCCTAAGCTTGAGAGGGAATCGAATTAGCGTACTTGAAAGGCGTACGTTTAATGGGTTGAGCTTGGACAGCCTCGATTTGAGCGGAAACGAACTTCGTAGTCTACCCGCGGGTGGGTTTCAGGGTGCGAGCATTTTCGCGCTTAATTTGAGCGACTTTGGACTACAAGCGATCGAGTCGAACGCCTTTGGAGGGTTGAGCATGTTACGGTCAATTGATATGGGCAACAATCACGTGAGCACTCTCCAAAATGGGACGTTTGAGGGATTGAGCTCGCTGTTACAGCTGGACTTGACTAATCTAGGTATCGAGACGATTGAACCTGGCGCATTTAGGGGGCTTGAGAGTCTGATGCAACTCAGCTTAAATGGAAATCCACTCAAGCAGCTAAAGGCACAGAGCTTCTCCGAGTTGAGCAAGCTAGTCCTATTAAACTTACCAGATGGATTGACATCGATCGAACCAAACACATTTGATGGACTTTCTCTATGCGGCCCAGTACTACGTTTGTCCAATGGGAACCTATCGACGGTGGAAGAAAACGTGTTCGCAGGACTATTCCTGGTGGAGATTCTCGTATTCGACAATATGACCATTGGAAGCATCAAGGCGAACGCATTTCGCGGCTTGGACGAGTTGTCTGCAATTTTTTTAAACAACAGCACGATTGGCATGATCGAGGAGAGAGCCTTTGCTAACATGGATCGTGTTAAGTTCATCGTAAACACAAATTTTCGACAAAACACCGATCGTGAGACTTCGTTTCATAATGGCCACTACTCATTTCGCAAAATGGGAATAAAGCAAATGGAGGCGGGCGCCTTTAAAAACATTCGCGCACACTCTGACAGAGATCTGACAGGCGCTCTGGAGTTGGCATTGAACCTAGACGACAACGAACTCGCGGAGATTTACGCCGATCACTTCCTCGGCATGGAACACATCGAAGAACTGTCGATTAGGAACAACCAACTAGTCTCAATAGCACACGGTGCGTTTTCCACCCTCACCTCACTGAAACGGCTTCGCTTACCCGACAATCATATCTTCATCTTAAAGGACGCGTTTATTGGACTGAGCAAACTGCACACTCTCGACTTGGACAACAACAATATCACATTTTTACCTCCCGACCTGTTCACTCCCCTAAAAGAGCTCCACCGCCTCAAACTTGGCAGTAACTACCTCACCGAACTGGCCGTTGGCAACTTCCCGGCAATTCCCCTTCGACTACTCGATCTTGGCAACAACAACATCAGCGAGGTCGAAAACGGAACCTTCGACGACATCAGGCCGTTGGACTTCCTCAACATGTCCTACAACAGCCTGGAAGACTTTGACATCGCGATCCTCTCCCCTCTACAGAAGCTCAAAACGTTTTGCATCGCCACGAACAACTTACGAGAGTTTGACGCCCTCCAGCTCGTCGACACCCTCCCCAAGCTGCAGACGATCGACCTGAACGATAACTCGATACCCTGCGATGATTTCTCCCACATTTTGACCGTGTTCAGGACGCACGGGCTCGAGTACGTGACCGCCGCGGAGAAGCTCTCATTGGGAAGCTACGACGGCGTGATTTGCGAGCCGAACCAAAAACCGAAGGTGCTCAACGCGACGAGCTACAAGGGTATGGCGAGGAAAGCGCGCGAGAAGCTGGAGAAGATAGGCGAACACTTCAAGACGATTAGGTCGGGTTTGAAGAAAGGCCTCGACGAGCGCGCGGCCGTCATTCAGGCCAAGCTGAGCGATTTGGTCCAGACGCTACAGAGCGCGGCGGGAAAGCGCGAGTCGGTGAGTCCCTTCCAGATCATCCTCATTATTGTCTGTGTCGTTATATGTATTGTGCAACTTGTTGGTGTCTACAAAAAGTGCCGAAACAGAAGGTGAGTGGTATCATCGCGGGTTAAGGGGTTGAGGACCTGGACCTACCAGAAAAGTAGGATGAAGATCGAAACTTATTACAGTGTTAGGTTATCGTAAACTTGCGAACATATTTTAAAATATTACGTTTTTAACCGGAAGTAATTTTTTTGTAAGTAGTGGATTCCCTTTATTAACATACTAACCACTATCACTACCACTACTAACCGCCCATTATCTATGAGAGTATGAAATTTATATGTGTAGATCATTAATTAATGCAATAAGTCAGTAAGTTGTTTCTCGTTAACTGAGAATTTTATTATAGCAATGAACAAAGGAAATGACAAATCATGGCCTTGAAAATATAATTTGACACCGCAAAAAATGGGCGCATTGACTTTTTATACTCTTAAAAATGTAATTTAACACCGCAAAAAATTGCTTCATTGACCTTGAATGACCTGAAGAATGCAATTAGCCACCACAAAAGATGAGGTCATTGCCCTTCTATGACCTTGATTTAATTTGATACCGCAAAAATGGGCTCTTTGTCCTTGGATGACCTCGAAAATGTATATCGACACCACATAAAAGCAGTCATTGACTTTGGATGTCCTTGAAACTGTAATTCGACAACACAAACATGGGGACATTGACCTTGGATGACATTGAAATTGTAATGTGAGGTTATTGACCTTTTAAATGTAAATTTAACACCCAAAAAAATGAAATATGTCAACTACAGCTTGTTCTCCGAGATTTACCGCGATGTACTTTCCTAGGTCGCCGTCCACGTGGCACGCGACTTAGCTTGACCTAAATCCCGAGGCCGTCGCCACGTGGCACGTCACCTCTATCTAGATAACAGACGACTGAATGCCGCCACCATTGCCGGCGACCCGCTACCGAGAATAGACGACCCACTACACACGGCCAATGCACCTTTGAGGACCACCATCGACCCCAGGCCGGTTATTGGCACATTGCCGTACCGAAACTCTCCTTTCGGTCCCTATCGCTTCAAAATAATGCCATTCGGAATAAGGAACGCTCCCGCTACATTTCAACGCTTCATCTATCGACTATAAAGCCAGCAGGTCAAGATCGGCGTCGTAGCATAGCTAGATGATATCATCATATTATCCCGAGATTTCGAAACTAATCGAGGGTCTTTTAAGGGACTTACTCAAGACGTTTGAGCAAATGTGCCAGTTCAAACTAAATCTGCGCAGATCGAAGTGCCACTTCGCCTGCCAACAAATCAAACACCTAGGGCATCACACGCAATTCGCGCAAGTGTCGCCAGGCCGCTCATTTGCGTATTAAAGAAGGACTCATCATGGTTTTGGTTGACAAAAACCTTCGAAAAACCAAAAACTCCCCTCACCACCGCAACTACTCCACCACCGAACGCGAGGCCCTTTCAGTAATACGGGCTGTGGATAAATTTCGTGGTTACGTAGAAGGAAGTGCCATAACACTGTCAACGGATCAACTGTGTAGCTCAGTGGTAGAGAGTTGGGCCGAAAGTCGGGTGTTCGAACCTGGGCTAAGGTAAGAATTTTTTATTTGTGGTAGAGATGGGAATTTCTTTGGATTAGTTTCGAACATTATGCCGGCTACTCCGAATTAGGTTTTCCGGCAGTTTTCCTAATTCTCAAGGTAAATACTGGAGTAGTATAGAACAACTTAAGACCTTCTGCAGGAGCACATCTAAAAAAGCAATGTGTGGGCCACTCTTTAATTGGGCAAAAGCCTGTTCAGGTCCAAAACAAGAGGGACAATGAATAAATAAATAAATAAATAAGTAAATAAATAAATAAATAAATGAATGAACGAACGAACGAACGAACGAACGAACGAACGAACGAACGAACGAACGAACGAGCGAGCGAGCGAACGAACGAACGGACGGACGGACGGACGGACGGACGGACGGACGACGGACGAACGAACGAACGAACGAACGAACGAACGAACGAACGAACGAACGAACGAATGAATGAATGAATGACTGAGTAAGTAAGTAAGTAAGTAAGTAAGTAGGTAAGTAAGTAGAACGGGGTGACTTTGATTCTACGAGGTGTCTTTGATAACTTATTAAATATTTGTTTCTGGAGCGTATGCAGCCCAAATAAGGAATCTGTTATGCTGGTTGTAGATACTCATTCTTAGTAAAGTAGTTTATTAACTGTTGCGCATGGCATTTGCACGAATTGTCACATGTTCATTCGCGGTAAAACCGTTGCGAAGTTTGTGTTTTATTTGGCCGTTTTCATATTGTGCTACTTAAATTAGATCCACAGGGTTTACGATAGCATTGCAGGTAATTCTGTCTATATTAGCTTAATCTATCTCTATCTGCGGGTTTCTCAAAGTTCTTAACCTGAGTTTGTTTTGCAATTACCTCATTTCAAGCAGCTGTTTTCTCCACCGGGGTCACTTTGATACCATTTTCGTGGTGACTTTGACTGTCTTATACTGTTTGTTTCTTGGGAAGCCTCAATCAGTTAATTGATTTCAGGCTTTTACCTCTATTTGCCTACTTGGGAAGGGAAAATGCCGCGTACGTATACACGAAAGGTAGGATCAAGAAGCTACAAAAATTTCTCTGAAGAAATTCTCGAACAAGCATTGCAGGAAATAGTAAACGGCAACTTGTCAATTAAAGCCGCTTCAAAGAAATTTAAAATATCGTACGGTACTTTGCACAATAAATACAATGCATGGAAATAAGCCAGGTGGTCAAACTGCGTTGTCGGCACTGGAGGAAAAAGCAATCGTGTCCTGTATTGTCAAATGTGCAGATTGGGGATTCCCTTTATCAACGCTGGATGTACAACTTTTCACTAAGAGTTATTTGGAAAGAACTGGAAGAACTATTTTAAAATTTAAAAACGGAATAAGTCCTGGAAATGACTGGGTGAAACTTTTTTTAGAAAGGCATGACCAACAGATCTCTGAACGTCTTGCTTCTAATATTTCTAGAGCTCGAGCAGGGGTTACAAAAGAAACAATAGAATCGTATTGTGATCATCTAAAAATAACTCTCGCAGATTGCCCCCCTTCAAATGTTTTTAATTATGACGAGACGAACGTTAGTGATGATCCTGGGAAAAGGAGATTGTTATACAGAAGAGGGACCAAGTATCCGGAGCAAATCGCGAATCACAGTAAATCCGCCACATCAATAATGATGTGCGGTGCTGCTGATGGAACGTTACTCCCTCCTTATGTAATTTATCGCAGCGAAAATATGTGGGATGCTTGGACCTTAGGAGGCCCACAGGGCGCTCCTTGTTGTAACCAAGGGTGTTGCTCAAGAGGGGCTAGATATAACCGAACAAAGAATGGGTGGATGGAGGTAACTTGCCTCATACAAGACGACTGAAGGGTAAAAAGGTTATGATTGGAGACAACTTGGCGTCCCACTTTTCAGACAAGGTTTTACAACTGTGTGAATTGAATAATATTGAATTTGCATGCCTTCCCAGTAATGCAACACATATATGCCAGCCTTTGGACGTGTCGTTTTTCAAACCCATGAAAGTCTCTTGGAGAAAGGTTTTGACCGAATTTAAAATGCGACATCCAAAGGTCACTGGTGTGCCTAAAGATCAGTTTCCGTCATTATTAAAAAGATGTTTGGAAATAATGGACATTACAGTTGCTAAAACTGAACACAAGTGTGGAGACAGTGAAGAAAGTGTAATCAAGAGAGTATTAAAAAATGGATTCGAGGCTTGTGGTATGGTTCCTTTCCAACCGAATAAAGTTTTGAATAAAATTACACCAGTTACCCATAATGCTGATGATGTAGAACCTCTCATTAACGATAGTCTTACAGACTATTTGAAGAATAAGAAGTCCGATATAGAAGTTACTAAACGGCGAAGTAAGAAAAAAATGAATGTTCAACCCGGGAAAAGTGTCAGCAGGCATGTAACAGCAGACTCAGACAGAAATTCCTCCGATAGTGAAGTGCCAGACAACGTTAGCACTGAAAGCGAAAGTGAATTTGAAAATGAAGACTCTACAGAGAATTTTGAATATGAGATGAATACACCATCGCTTACTGAATTGAATGTTGGTGCTTTTGTACTTGTGAAAATTTTGTCAGGAAAGCGAAAATGTACAAATTACGTATATGCTGGAAGGATCCAAGAAAAATTACCTTTTGATGAATTTGAAATCGTTGGACTTAAATTGCTGGATGAAAATCATAAACATTTTAAAATTGTAGAATCCGAAGTTTTTACAGCTCCTTTTGGTGACGTACTAGCAATTCTGGAAAATCCATCCACTGAAAAGGATAAGGATGGAATAACCAAGTGTACATTTCATTTTAGGGTTTCTGTCAGAGAACAATAAGATTTATTTTGTTTCTATTGTATACCTATTTTCTGTATTGTTGCTCCTGAAAAGTTTTTCACGCCAATAAAGTGCTACCTACTTCCATATTTGTGTATCGTATCTTAATTGTCGTGCGTATGGCAGGTATCAAAGTCACCCCAAAAATTCAAATTTAAAAATCTAAAAATTGGCTTGATCGATTTGAATTTGGGGTGACATTGATACTTCTATAGCTTTAATACGTCTGCTAACCCATTCTAAAGCGACGTATCAAAGTCACCCCACAACGGTGGGTGAGTTTGATATGGTACTTTTTATTTTATTTTTTACCAATTATCAACTGTACAAAAAGCAGTACTACCAATTTCGATTAAGACCATAATGCTGCATCTATTAGAAATTGTTCCACATTTTTAAAATCACTCATTCAAAAGATATGCGAGAAAATAGAGAAAAAATGATCAAAGTCACCCCATTCTACGGTAATAATAATAATAATAATTAATAAGTAAGTATGTAAGTAAGTAAAATAAATAAATAAATAAATAAAAATAAATAAAATAAATAAATAAAAATAAATAAATAAATAAATAAATAAATAAATAAATAAATAAATAAATAAATAAATAAATAAATAAATAAATAAATAAATAAATAAATAAATAAACAAAGGCACCCATTTACCAACACGGGGACCGGTATAAGCGGTAAACTCATGCCACGGAGAGACGGGCCTGCAAGCCATTTTGCAAACGAGATAGGTCGAGACACCAGGAAAACCAATACCACGCATCGGCCCTAGTAGCCTACCAAGGAAACGAGAACACCACACCAGTACTATCAATCAGAAGACGGGACAGACTACGAAAAACGAAAATAAAGTCTGCTAGAAATGGGAGACGCCTTAAATCCAATTCAACGTCAGAGGCGGCACATAACTTCACTCTAGGCAAATGTTAATCACAATTTACCTTATTTATGCGGCGTCTAAATCTACCCTCCGTGCGGTTCAACTTTGGACAACTCTCTATTTTGGGAGTTTGTGGAATCGAAACAAAACTGTGTCGTTTAACCTAAATTTCCACGAATTCCCGAAGTTGTACAATTCGAGTGATCGAGTTGATTTGAACCATACTAAGTGCACACACAGTTATTTATTGAGGGAGTTTAAGTAGTCAGCCATATTGGATTATGACATATCCTACACATCTCCATTGGCAAAGACCAGAATAACAATTATAAGTAGTCTTCACCAACAGCGACGTGTAAACTTTGCCACGCAACTACATGGCGGCAATTGCATGTGAGGTTACCTTCTAAAAGGCGATTAAGATGCTAGTTTATTTATCCGAAACCTATAACACGATTTAGCACCAGGGCCCACCATAACTCCCAATTAAAGAATTAATAGTGGCATGCTGAAATTTCCCTTTCCCCTTACGCCAACCGAAAAAAGGATTGCCTCGCTTTAAAATTGCATTGCAAGCGAAAAGCTAAATAAACGCTTACACGCAATTTCATTGCTCTTTATACTGTAGCGAGATTTGTACAAATTGATATACACACACATCGTGACGTAATTCAGCGCCTTTCCTCCGAGGGAGGCGTAATATCTGCGAGCCGTGTTAAAAATCATACCAAGGATACAACGGAGTCGCATTTACATGCGAATTATTACATCCTGGAAGGGAAACGTGTCCCAAAGTTTACATATATCCGACATTTTCGTCGAGCGACCACGTGTTTTCACTATCATTCTTCTTGTTCTTGAAATGGAACGTGACCGTAATGCGTCTTTTTCCGTTCTCTCGAATTTCGCACCTCTGAGGGGAATTAAATTTGTTGCGTTCGCACGCCGTTCGTTTCGTGCATAGTAAAATATTTACCTTTTAATAGGCTAGAAGAGTCTGATGAATCTGCCGCAAGGGAGAAGTCTAGAAAATTGCAATTGGTTAGCGTTCGTGCGACAACCGCGGTTGCTTCAACCCCTAACAAACATATAGAGGATCCTTTCGTGATCCTTCACGATTCAAGGTCCGATACCGTGCAATAACAAAATCACGGACACCTATGAATCGAAACCATTTTCCGCAAAATGACGATCCTAAAGATTCAGTTGTATTCAGTCTAAAAATATTTTTTTCCTTTTACTTTTGGTTAAAAGCCGTTGCTAACAACTGAGCTCTTAGAAACTAATAAAAACCAAAGGTAAAAACCGGAAGAAGAAGATTTCTTTTACTTTGGAAAGGGTGTTTCGCTAAATACTGCGAGCAGGAGGCTGCAAGCTAGCTGGTTCGCGACGGTTGTAAAGTTTCTTTAAGCGTTCGGCCCTATTTGAGTTATTGAAAATGCAGTTCGTCATTTGCATAATATTTCTGTCCAGAAGAAAGTTAACTGAAGTTACAAAGTGTTGCCCGTATTCGTAAATGGTCCCAGCAAACACACTTTACGTTTAAAAACGGTTTTAAATCGCTTTGAAAAGATAAATTCGGTATTGGTAGTATGGTATAAGTTTTTGTGTAGACCGATTTTATACCTACGTTTAAAATACGATTTTTATTCATTTATGTTATGCATATATAAACGATAGAGTTCACTTTGTACGTTGATAATACGTATATAAATAGCCGTTTTTTAGCATTCGTTTTATAAACGTATATAACACTATTTTAATATACGCATGTACGCATATAAGTCGTATATCAATGGGAAATAATAAACGCAATAATATTCCTACAAGAATACAGAAACATCCGCCGGACATTTATGCGTATTATATACGTAAGGTTTTAGTCTACAATAAACGCTTTTTATACGGAACTGTGTTGCTAGGGGTTAGTCAAGTTGAAGTAAAGGAAGCAAGGTTCTTTTATTATCAAAGTTAAAAGTTTGTACCCTCTGAAAAGCAACCGGCAATTCGTAATATTATTATTTATCAAGTTAATGTCGTTTGTCACCAAGATTTATAAAGTTCTGATGCTGTCAGCAAGGGCTTTTGTGTGTTTTTGATAAGTGGTCTTGAATATCTCAAACCATTCCCGACCAAATTTTTATTTCAAATTATCGACCGCCTGCGTGCGGAGCAACTTGTTTAAATAAGCTTTGTAAGCTTGTCTTTCTTCCAGGAACTATGTTTTTGTTTTCGGAAAATGCAGGAGGTCAACGAGTCTCACAAATTATTAATTGGGGTCAATATAGGGACCTTTCTTTGTAGCCTTTGTGCCTGGATAAATTAAAAAAAATCCTGTTTTAATTTTGATTTATTTGAGCTAGCTAGGCATGGTGTATACCTAAAAAATCGACCCTTATAGGTTCTGAACTGGTTTAAAAACTCTTGAAGCATTTAAAGCCCCTTAGGGGTCCTCAAGACTCTTAAAAGTTCCGCTTGCAACAGAAAATTTTAAGGTTTCTAAAACCATGAGGAAACCGTTGGAAGCTCATGGTGAGTGTTGGCGTCTGTTTAATACGGTTACTGTTTTCAAAGATCTCTAAGCACTTACGAGAGGTCTAAAAGGCTCTGAAGCTCTTAAGGTCCTTCAAACCTTCTTCACGAGCATACATACCAAGTGCCCTGAAGGCCCGATAAAACTCTTGGAGGTCACTAGATGCATTCAGAGACCTTTAGATCTTAAAGATAAAACATTTAAAGCCTCATGAAATGTCTTTAAAGGCTCAGGCTCAATGACCCTTAAGTGCTTTTAGACAGTCGTCCAGAGTAATGCTATGGAAGATGTTAAAACTCTTCACGACCACTTCAGTCTACACGTAAGAGAACTTAAATGTTCTTACAATCTCTTTTAGTCCCTTAAGAGCCCCTAAAATCTCCCTCATGGTGTGAAAGGGTAATCTAAATAAACGTTCTGAAAGACCTTTGGGCATCTTTGGAAACGCTTAGAGAATCTTAAAGATCCTCAACTATTAATAAACACCTTTAATGGCTCGATCTTTAAAGGTTTTAAATATTTAGGAGACTCAAAGGGATTCGTAACTACCATATACGCTTTAAAAGCTGGACAGTCAAGAGAGGGAAGAACGCGCATAAAATCTGTTGTAAGATCCTATGAAGCCCTTAGAAGCTCTTGAAGACAATTGGAGCTTTGAAGTCGTGAAGGTCTTGAGGTCTTGAAGTCTTGAAGTCTTGAAGTCCGCTTTTTTTTACGACGTTTGAAATGTAGGGCTCCTAGCTTTAAGGTTTTATCGTTGGGATCTTGGGACATCGATTTTAAGACTATGAGGTTATAGAATCTTAGAAACAGTACAGTTAAGTATACGATATTTGGATTTTCGAATGCTCAGATTCAGGTAACTAGGGCACCAGGAACCTAGAAAATGGAGAATTTGGTGTCCAAAGATACAGCGACCTGTATTGTTATTTATTGACCCTTGAAACTTGAAGTAAAGTAATCTTGAGCCCTTGCGCTTTTGGATCCTCGATCTTAAGATTGTGGGATCTTATGATGTTACTATTTTATATCAATAAAATCTTAAGGTTCGCCTTTTTAGCATCATCTTAGGATTTCGGGGTGTCTAAATACCGGGATTTCAGGACCTCAGACTGTCTGGATCTTTGAACCTTAGAAGCTTAAGGATTTAGAACTCTACGGCTTGCCTTGAAATCTTAGTATCTCAAGAACGTTGGTAATTAGCCATTTAGGATCCTAGACCCCTAACATATTTAGGCACTTTCGTATCAGAATTTTAGGAACTGGAACCTTGAGGTATTGCAATTTTGAGATTTTGGGATCATGGGCGCTCATTGATTTCAGAAATTCTGTATTTGGGGATGTCAGGATTTTAGTATCTTGCGATTTTGGTTTTTGGGATCTTAGAATTTCGGAATCCTAGAGTCTCATGAGCTACTTGGTTTTTCTTTATCTGGAAGAAAAGGGATCATGAGATTTGGTGATCGTAAGGTTTAGACATTGAGTTAGAAATATCTCAATGGGTTTAGAACATTGGCTTGGTAACCTTTTCGGAATCTTAACGGATTAGGCGCTAGTCTCTTGAGATTATGATTTATTAGGATCTCTAATTTAGTGGTTTGTGGTATTGACCTGTCCAAAGATTTTATATCCAATTTAACTCTTTGCTCATTAAAGAACTTCAAATCAGTCTATGGGAATCTGGCGGAAACCTTTGTTGCCAGGTAGGGATTTTGACGCAAACGATGGGGGCCATAAATTGAAGCTATGTATCTAATCTGCCAAGTGCAAACATTTGTCTTGTAAATATTGGCAAAAGGTGAGCATTACCGGAATACTACCTGCAATCCGAATCAGTTGGCATGCGAAAATGGTCGCAATCGAAGGGAGGACTCTGCAGTACATCGCACTTTCAGCAGGTGAGATCCACCCTCTTTGGTATCTACTAATGCGTTGTTGTAGGTTCTCTAAGTGCTCTCTCTTGCGGTTTCCACCTCGGATGGCCGGGTCCTTATCTGCAACAGTTGGTCGAGGAGGACTCCGCGTTTCCGGTAACTGACAGCGAAGGTTCCTGGATTGCGATATCGTTCCTGATTGGCGCCTTCTGCGGGTCCGGTTTGTGCGTTGCGCTTCTGGACTGGGCCGGTCGGAGAAGACTCGTCATATTCACCAATTTTCCATTTGTCGCGTCTTGGTTGATGGTGGCGTTTGCGGGAAGCTGGTGGGAGCTGTGCGCGGCTCGGTTTGTGGCGGGACTGTCCGACGGTATGGTTTTTTGTGCGGTACCCCTGTACTTCAGCGAAGTGGCCGATGCTAAAGTTAGGGGTCTCTTCGTGTCGGGTTTGATAGTGATGCACCTGACGGGCGTTCTTTTTATGGCAGTAGTGGGGTCGTTCTTGCCAATGAAGAGTGTCGCTTTATTCTGCGTCTCAGTCCCGCTGATTGTGTTCCTTACATTTCTGTGGTTGCCCGAAACTCCTCACTATTACGTGGTACGAGGCGACCTGGAGAATGCCAGGCGAAGTCTGAGAAAACTAACCGCTAAGGTTGATGTGGAGCCGGAGATTGGTCACATTTTGGAAACCATGGACGACTGCGACGGTTCCAAAGGTAAATTGCTAAATTTTATTAGCAACGGAAACAGTCGACGTGGCATTGTCATTCTGTTGCTGATACGTACAGTGCAACAATTCAGTGGTTACGTCGCCTTCGTGTTTTACCTGCCAGCCATTCTTACGGAAGCCAGTGATTTTGTTTCTCCAGTCATATCCACCTCTATTTATTACACCTTGCAAATGACGTTTGCCCTAATTTCGATGGTAACCATTGATAGGGTTGGTCGAAAACCAATTCTAGTTTTCTCAGTTGCTAGCGTAACCCTTTCACTGTCAGTGGTGGGGGTGTATTTTTTGGTTCAAGGTTATGGCTACGTTAACCTAAAGGATTACTCCTGGATACCGCTCTTGGGACTTTTCCTGTTCATTAGCGGTTACAGTTCCGGGCTGCATTCTATACCCGTGCTGCTCGTGGGGGAGATATTTCCAATTGGAGTAAAAGTGCTAGCAATCACTCTATTCGATATGTACTATAGCATAGTTTCGAGCATTGCGTCGAAATTTTTCCAGTACACCAAGGACGAGTTTGGGATGTACGTTCCCTTTTTAACATTTGCCTGTTGTTGCGCTTGTGGTTTACCGTTTATCGTGCATTTTCTACCCGAAACCAAAAACAAAACGCTTGAAGAAATTCAAATTGAGGGGAAACTAAAGATAAAAGCATGACATGTAACAAATATACTATTTACACTTATTTACCTAATAAAGTATTTTTAATTAATATGACACACTTTTCTACAACGCTACTAACAGTCACTTTTAGGACACCCTCTATGTGAATGGTTTGCTATTGAGGTGTCGTAATTTGTAAAAAATCATATGGTGATATTATACAGTTAAAACTACATACATTTTTTGGAAGCTGGGGGTAACTCTTTTACACCCCATGTGTATAATATTTTGGCGCATTTTTCGGAAGCTGTTACAGTCCTTGTACTTCTACTCTCTCGTGTGACACGAACCATCGTTCTCGAATGCTTTTAGAGACATTTAAGGGCCCTTACATGTCTTAATAGTGATTTAGGAGTCTGCTTTGAAGATACCTTTATGACACTTTTAGTGATTGTTTAAGACATTTAAAAGAGCCGCAAACAGTTCAAGGGGATTTTACACGTCTTTATATATTATTAATCTTCGAGACCTTTAAGCGACTCTAAATGCATGTAAGAATCTTTAAGCGCCTCCAGCAGCTTCTTCTAACTTTCAAAGGCCCCCAAAACTCCACTACGGTCTGCTAAAAACCTTTAGAGTCCTTTAAAACCTTTAAAAATTTTAATTACCTTCAAAGAGGTCTCAAGGTTTTATAGAAGCTAGCTCTTTAAGAATCTTTGATAAAGCCTAGCCTTTAAGAGGCTGTATAAGTTATTAAATGGTTTTAAGGGTTTTCAGAGTGCTTAAGAATTTCATCCGAAAGTCTCAAAGGTCTCATTGTCTTCCGGAACTTCTTACACCACTTTTGATGCTATCTTCTCTTTAAATGCGTCCTTTGAGATCTTAAAAAAACACCCTTAAGGGACTTAGCTAAGTGCATTTGGAGTCTTTGAGGGTCATTAAGAGACTGGAAAAATCTTTTTGGGCCCTTAAAAACCAATAAACATTACGATAAATCTCTAAAGGTTTTCAATAGTCTCATGGGGATGGGTCTTATAGGCGCTTTAAAAGCCTTTAAGAGTATTTAAATCCTTTAAGAGTATTTAAATCCTCCAATGGCCACCAAGTATCTTAAAGAGTCTCAAGAAGGCTCCAAGGGCTGTGTAGACTTTATTGTCTTTGGTCTTTCCTGAGTCCTTAAAAGCCTTTGCAATCGTGTATGGTCCTCTAAAATCGTTTAAGAGTCGTTAAGGATTACAAAATGATTCCAAAAGCATCTAAGAATCCCAAAGGTCTCCCAAAGTATTCGATAACTTCTATTCTATTTCCTCCGAAACTGCCTACTCTGAGTGCATTTTGGGATCTCAGAGAGTCTTTAAAGATCCCGTTTTAGGTATTATCAATATTTGAGATCCTTAAGAGTGCATTTATGAGTCTTTAAAGTCTTTTGTCTTCAAAGTCCTCGAAAAGCTTTAGGAGTCCTTAAAAAGAGTTTTGTTGACCTCCAAAGATCTGCAAGAGTCCCAATGAGGCTCCATGGGCCTTCGAGGTTTCAATACCCTTTAAATTGATTCGATTCATTAAAAGTCTTTGAAAGTCCTTAACGGCCTTGAGTTTAGCCTTAGCCTTTAAGAGATTTTCTTTAAAACGTTTAAAAGCTTTTATGGGTTTCAACAATTCTTTAGGAGCCTTTAAAGATCGCAAATGGCCTTCGAAGCTTTTAGAGCCCTTTCTCTCTTCAAGTTCCTCGTTAAATTTCGAAACTGGGAGCTTTAGCCTCTTTAAGGGTCTTCAACGAATTTTAAAAGCTCTATGAGCTTCTTTAAGGGTCTTGTTAGGTACTGTCGATCGTAAGGAAGATCTGTTGGGAGTCTTCGAAAGACAAGATTCCTCAAGCTTCCAAAAGTCCACTACAGTCTTACAAAAGCTTTTAGAGTCTTTAAGATCCCTTACATGTTTCCATTTCAAAGCGTCTCCCACAATCCTACAGTACCCCCTAAAGTGTTTTAGATTCTTTTAAAAGCCAATCTGAGCGCTGAGAGTGTCCCCAAAGTATTAAATAGCCCTTAGACCATTTACGAACTGAAGGAGCATCTAAGGGTCTTTGGGAGCCTTTAAGAGTCTCACGCGCTGTTTTTAACAGCCTTTGGAAGGCTTCAAGGGTATCAGTTTTCTGAAAGTTGTCTTCAGCCTTTAAAAACCCTCAAGAGCCCTCATGGGCCAAAATTCTTTAAGCCGCAGAAAGCTTCCAAAAGTCTCTCAGAGTTTCTCAGAAGTTTGAGACCTTTATTAGATTCTATGTACTCTTTCGACGCTGAGCGTAAAAGCTTTCTAGGTCCTTAAAGGCTCTTTAAAAACCTGAAGACTCCCTTTAATATCCTCAACTTTAGGCACTTGTTGTTTAAGGATCCCATCTCTTTTAAAAGATTTTAAAATTTGATTTTTAAATGTTTAAGGACATGTGGAGGTGGTCAAGAGCCTTTAAAGAACCATAATATGCTTTAAGGATATGTAGCCTTTAAAAGGTTTTATGAATGCTTTAATACTTATTAAAAGCATTATGTGTCTCATTAAGAACTTTTAAAAGCCTCACTGACTTTCCGAGCCTTGTAGAACCTTTTTTGAGGCTTGAAGAGCTTATGAGTTTTTGATGCAGCTCGACACTCCACTTTCGACGGACAGTGTAGACTATCCGATCAAAAACCAAATCAAAGATCCCTAAATATCTTGGGAATTTCTCAAAACTGGTGTGTTTTCAAGCGCCTGTGTCTAGAATCTTCCATTTTCTCCAGAGATGGCTACATGGTACAAATTGAAAAGTGGCTTAAGTTCCACTACAAAGATCTTTTTCTATCCATTAAAGGCGTTGGAATGAACACTTTGTTCAAATAAACCAAAGGTCCCAAGGACGTAAGTGATTCTGATAGGTTAAAGATTTGTTGCACCGTATACAACTTATCACCATCTCACCTATGTAAATTCATCGCAATTGTCACACTAAATTAGGCTGTCGTAAAAGCGTAATCCACGTATCTTATCTTTTCGCCTCAAACATTACCAAGATAGCTCACTTTTCGTCCCGAAATGGTCGCGATCAGAGGCAAGGCGCTGCAGTACGTCGCACTATGCTCAGGTAAGGCTCTCCATTCTAGGGGTACGCTCACTCACACGCGCTTTTAGGTACGCTCACGGCGCTCTCGTGCGGTTTCCACTTGGGATGGTCAGCGCCTTACGTGCCTCAGTTGGTCAGGGACGGGGCAACGATTCCTGTGTCGGACGGCGAGGGCTCCTGGATCGCGATATCGTTCCTGATCGGCGCTTTCTGCGGATCGGGATTGTCGGGTTTGCTGCTGGATCGGGTGGGACGTAGAAAGCTGATCATTTTCACGAGTCTGCCTTTCGTCGTGTCGTGGTTGATGGTGGCGTTCGCGACGAGCATCTGGGAGCTGTGTCTTGCGCGATTTATCGCCGGACTGCCCGATGGGGTTGTCTTCTGCGCGGTACCGCTGTACTTTGCCGAGATCGCCGACGCCGAAGTGCGTGGACTGTTCATGTCGGCTCTAACCTTCATGCAGCTGGTGGGTGTTCTTCTGATGGGCGTCGTCGGGCCGCACTTGCCTATGAAGAGCGTCGCGTTGTACTGCCTTTGCGTTCCTGTAGTTATATTCGCGACGTTTTTGTTTCTTCCGGAAGCTCCCCACTATTACGTGGTGCGAGGCGAACTGGAACGTGCCAGGGAGAGCTTGCGAAAGTTCACTGGTGCTGAGAACGTGGAGGAACATCTAGGATCCATTTTGGAGACAGTGGTCGAGTGTGACAACTCCAAAGGCACCTTAACTAACTTCTTGACCAACGAGAAGAGCAGGAGAGGCATTCTGGTTCTGCTGGTGCTAAGAGGCGTGGAACAATTCAGTGGGTATATCGCCTTTGTGTTTTATTTGCCCGCCATTCTGGAGGACGCCAAGGATTTTGTGTCGCCCACCACATCTACCGCCATTTACTATAGCCTGCAAATATTTGTTGCTTTAGTAGCAATGGTGATCATCGACAAAGTTGGCCGAAAGCCTCTGTTGCTTATTTCGGTAACCATCGTGAGTATCTCACTGTCATTGGTTGGGGCGTACTTCACGCTACAGAATCTATCTGGCATCGACTTAAAAGACTACTCCTGGATACCACTCGCAGGTCTCTTACTGTTTATAGTAGGATACAGCGCAGGGCTACACTGCATTCCGCTGCTGTTGCTAGGCGAGTTGTTCCCAATTGGAGTCAAGGTCCTAGCAATGTCTTTATTCGACATGTATTATTGTCTAATATCAAGTCTCGCGTCAAAGTTCTTCCAGTACACCAAGGACGAGTTTGGCATGCACGTTCCTTTCCTAACGTTTGCCGTTTGTTGCATTTGTGGTGTACCGTTTACTATTTACTTTGTGTCTGAGACCAAGGACAAAACCCTAGAAGAAATTCAAATGGAATCAAAGTCAAAAGCAAAGGTCTAAATGAGCATGTGATATTACCCAATAAGAGAGTTTTAATAAATGACAATTAATTGCTACCTTCTAAGCTTTGATAATCACAAACCAAAGAGAGGGGTAAAGCCGGTTCCAAACCAGTATACTGTCTCAACAGCAAAGGAATTTGATGGCCACGGTAGAGAAACCCCTCCAGTACTATCCCACTTTCGGTTAACAAAATGAGCACACAGGAAATGTTTACTTCGAAATGTAGGGGGTTAATTCCGCTTTGTCGCTTTACTTTGTACTTTACATTTGTCCATCAACTTGAACTCTAAAATCGCCTTGTCTCCGAGTTCCTCCAACCTGGGCGTTGGAATCTTGCAATCCCGGAGATTTACTAGTGTTCCGGATTTTGGATATCTCTGGTGAAAGATTCCTGCAGTTGTATCTATAGCTCTGGAACCCAAAGGATTCAAGGTGTAGGTCTCGGGCTTTCAAAAACATTTAGTCTACGGGACGATTAAGCAGATCTGTTCGAAAACGTGGTCCAGTTCGTGGCACACGATGTGTTTTACCATAAAAATGCAGTTTTGAAGAGGGACTAACGCAGTGGTATAA